GCCTGAACTCTGGACCTGGGCGCTGTCCCTCAGCTCTTCAGCTCAAGGCTAGCACTCTACCACTTGAGCCACAGCGCCACTTCCAACTTTTTTCTTTTTGCTTATGTGGTGCTGAGGAATCGAACCCAGGGCCTCATGCATGCAAGGCAAGCGCTCTACCACTGAGTCACCTTCCCAGCCCCCGAGAAACTCTTATCTCCAATAAACCACCAGAAAACCAGAAGTGACGCTGTGGCTCAAATGGTAGAGCGCTAGCCTTGAGCTGAAGAGCTGAGGGACAGTGCCCAGGCCTACAGTCCAAGCCCCACAACCGACAAAAAAAAAAAAAAAAACTGAAATCTGAGGATTGAGGTTCAAAAGAAGTCCATGCAGACAAATCTGGGAGACTCTTACCTTTAATTAACCAGCAAAAAGCCAGTATGTGGCTCAAGTTGTAGAGCAACAGCCATGAGTGAAAAGCCAAGCCAGACTAATAGGCCTTGAGTTCAGTCCCCAATACTGGCACCAAAATAAATTAAATTCATATATTGATATGAGCCACATTTGGAGGACTCAGTCACCACCATGGCTAGTAGCTACCATACTCCACAACACAGATATAGAACATTTCCACCCCTTCAGAAATTTTCTTTAGGCAACATTCCTCCTGATGTTATCTACTAGTGTCAGCCACCTGTCAAAATGCCTGGGTTTCTGCAAGACGCATCTACCTAGTCTCCCTGACCTCAGTCTCCTCCTCCTTGTACAAAGATGTTATTCTAACCTTACCACCTCCCAGCTTAAAGTCCCTGTGGCTCCCCATCACTCACTTACTCATACACGGCTCTTCAGCCTGATAGAGGACACCATGATCTACCTTCTTCCTGCCTGGTCACCTGCCATGGGTCCTTAAAGACACTCATCCTGTTACAGAAAGCTACCTAAGCCAAGCACTGGTGGCTCAGACCTGTAATCCTAGCTACTCAGGAAGCTGAGATCTGAGGATCACAGTTCAAAGCCAGCCTGGGCAGGAAAGTCCGTGAGATTCTTATCTCCAATAAACTACTCAGAAAAAGTCAGAAGTAGCACTGTGGCTCAAGTGGTAGAGTGCTAGCCTTGAGCACAAAGAGGCTCAGGGACAGTGCCCAGGCTATGAGTTTGAGACCCAGGAATGGCAAATAAAACAAACATACCTAGACCTGTCCTGAAGCTTTCATGAAAACCCAAGGTATTTTTCCCTAAAATTCTGTTTGCTCTGATTTATCTGTTTCCTATACATATGTGTGTCCTCCAAGTGCCTCTTTTAATTTTTACTAAAACTTCATGGAAATTCAGTGATTTTGGCATTAACAGAGGAGTTTACTACAAGAATTTCAGGAATTTGGGCTGGGATGTAGCTCAGTGGCAAAGCGCTTGCCTAGCAAGTGCAACGTCCTGGGTTCGATCCCCAGTACCAAAAAAGAAAAGACAAAAAAAAAGTACAGTTAAAAAAAACCCAAACAAAAGAATTTCAGGAATTTATTTTCCTCACTTCTGGTAGAAGACATGCTGAGCATGTCTACAAACCTGGATTTGCGCTTGGCCAAATTAGCTGATTAGTTGATGCACAATTTCCAGGAACAACTTCTTTTTGAGGCCTTTTCCCTTTCTCTTCATTTCTCCAATTAGTACCACAAGTGCTCTTTGGTTTTGAGGCCTTTCTTCCCCAGTGGCTCCTACAAAGGAAGCAAAGTCAGTTTGAATGCTGTAGGAATAGAGGGCCAGCCTCACTGATATGTCTGCAGGCAGACAGGGTTTTCCACCCCTGTGTACTGATGTGTCCTCTAAAAGTACTTCCATTCCAAAGTGTTTAGTGGATATCCTTTTATGCAAACTATGTGCCTACCAAACTAGATTCTAAGTACCTTAAGGGTAGAGAGAACTTATCTCTATGTGTAATTTTAGCACCTGGCACCCAACAATTGCCATTGTCAAGTCCAAATACGTTAAGAAGCCAAAGTTACTATTAGAGGGGATCAGGGGTAGACCAAATCTAGAAACTGAACTGATCAACAGTGGTTTGCTTTGTTCCCCAGGTGGCTGTTGTGGCTCTGACTATAAACAGTACGTGTTCGGCGGCTGGGCCTGGGCCTGGTGGTGCATCTCTGACACTCAAAGGTAAGAGATCCGCTTTTACCCCACAGGCCAGCTACAGCATCTGTCATTCCACTTTCCATCTGGTAGGGGGAGATTTCTAAGGAACAGGTGAAATGAGCTGCAAGAGGCACACACATCAGGAAGACCTGTCCGTGGGCCCCTTTCTTATTGTGTGTTATTTTACCACTGGAGGTGGAATTCAGAGCCATACCATCCCAACCCTGGAAAGCAGAAGCAGGAGGATTGTGAGTTTGAGGGCAGCCTATGCTACATAGCAAGACCTGCCTCAGCAAAACAAAGAAAGCTATTCAAGCAGCCTTCATTATATACCATTTGGAGGGGGAGTACAGAGGAAAGAAAGGGCAAAAAGAGCCCATACTTTCACCTTAACCTGTGTAGGATTGGGACAATTCAGACAAGGACTAATGGCAGAGGATGAATGTACAGTCAGAAATGCTTTGTGACTACAGTGGGTTAGATACAGGGTAGGAGCATAAGGGATTGATGCTGGGCCAGGCAAAACAAGTCTGGACCTCCTAAATCAGTTTGAAAAAGAATTACTAGAGAAAGGGAGATTCTGGCTCCTCAGAGTGTCCTTCATCCAGCTTTCCCTTCTGGTGCCTTCAGAGCTCAAGGCCAGGGTAGACATGGTCTCTTTCACTGTCTTCTTGCCCTCCACAGGAGATAGGGCATGCCAGCCACCTTTTCTATTATCACCCTTTTTTTGAGTATGGAAAATGGGGCCAGGCACCTGGTAGCTCACGCCTGTAATCCTACACGCCTGTAATCTCAGAAGGCTGAGATCTGAGGATCATGGTTTGAAGTCAGTGGGGCCAGCAAGTCCTTATCTCCAGTTAATCACAGAAAAAGCTGGAAGTGGCACTGTTGCTCAGGTGGTAGAGTACTAGCCTTGAACAAAAAGGAGTTTAGAGACAGTGTCCAAGCCCAGAGTTCAAGCACTAGGACAGGGGCGGAGGGGGGGGGGGGGGAAGGTGGAGGAGAGAAGAAAAGAAAATGGGGGAGAACAAATCCTTCCAGACCAGGACCCAGGCAACCAGAACAATAGAACTTTGAAGATGTGGGCATGTTGAAGGGGGCTGGCCATTTCAAAGGGGAAGCACTAAAGATTCCACCAGAAATCCCCACCCCACCCCCATCCATCCATCCGAAAAGAAGCCCCATGTCTGCACTCAACTGTTGGTATAAGCTCTGGGAGTCTGAGGGCACCATAATGGTTAAGGGATGGGAAGCTTGTCACGACTTTTTAACACCGCTCATCTCTCCATAACCCTCTCCACTCTGTCATCTCTCCCCTCACTTTACCATGCCTGACCTGAGGGATTCTGGGGAACTCTTCTGATCCAAGGCCAAAAGTATCAGTCATCCGTAGTTGTCCCAACTTCTACTCCAGAGTCCTAGGCACATGACACACCCATTTGCTCCAGGAGACATCGCCACCTCATATATGCAGTCCCCACACAGCAGAAGACTTTATTATATTGTCTTAGTTCCACAGGGAGAGGTTTCATTGTTACATCTCCACACGTTTGCACTGTACTCCAATCAGGCTCTCCCTTTACTACTTCTATCACTGTCCCTTCCCCCTCCCTACCAAAAAATCCACAACAGATTTCATTTTCCATCTTCATAGTTGCAAATAATAGTATTCAATAGGATTCAGCCACGTTCATCCTCCCTACTAGCCCTACCCTCTTTTGCTAGTTTCCACCCACTGATAATCTATTTCTCCTGCCCCCCTCACCCCGCGGCCCACCATCTCCTTACTGATTAAAAGCTTTCATTGAGTTTCTCCATACTGCTTTCATATACTCTTGCAATGTAATACAGTTATTCACCATATACAGCAGAATATTTTTTTTCAAACACCTCGACTTTATAGCCAGGCCCAAAAGTTTGACTTGCCCAGAGACCTGTCCTGTGTGGACGCCCACTACTAAGGCAACACCACCACAGCCCTTTTCCAGGTCTCCCACTCCTTGCTCTAGGGAGCAGATCCTAGGACAGGAGGTCCAGACCTCCCTGACCCTGTTAGAAGTGGGAGCTGGGGGCCTGGTCTCTCATCCTAAGAATGAGGTAGACTTCAGGCTAAAGGTCCTTCTACTAGCCTGACTTGCTAGGCAGTCTGAGCCTACAGCCATTCCCCTCTTGTTTACTTTTTGGCTGGTAGTCCTACCCCAGCCCATAGCTTACTTGGTGAATAGCTCCATAGGCTGAGGTCTTTATTTCCTTAGGCTAGCAGGAGCCTGTCAGGTCAGACTAGAGACTTTTAACTTAGTTTCCACACTTAGCCTCCCTTTGGAGGAACTTTCCACAGCCATCCTGTATGTCACCTACTTGTAGTGTCAACCATTCTTCCCCCAGGCTCAGTGAAGTCCCTCCTGCTACATCCTGTCCTGTACTGTCCTGAGACCCTGATGTGGGCAGCTCCCTCTCCCTTCCACCTCTGGTATCTCAACTGCAGCCTCCCTCCCTCCCTTGTTCCCTCCCCTGTTCCTTCCCCTGTTCCTTGCCTTCCTCCAGCTTTTTCCAGAATAGAGAGTTTCGTAGGCTCCTAGCTGAGTAAGGTCAAGAGTCCTCTCAGGAGCTAGGAATGTAGCTCAGTGGTAGAGCTCTTACCTAGCAAGACCCTGGATTCAATACCTAGCACTGAAAGAAAAAAAAAATCTCGGGCCCAAGGGTACTAGTGTTAGGAGCTTGAATGAAGGCAGCCTTTGCATGTCTGCATGACGAGCACCCAGCAAGAAGCCCATTTAAGGGTTAAGATGGGGACTCCATGTTGCCTACTGCTTCTAATCTCTACCCCGTCCACCTGCTTCTCTCCTTCAGCCTCTGTCTTCCCTTCCTTCTTTGGGTTTAAGGAACCTTTCCACACTATCCACAGCCTGCTGTGCCTGGACCACCACTCTAAACATGCACACTCACAGCTGGGGTGGGCCAAGTAGCTTAGAGGCACCTAGTTTTCTTTGCCAATAACCATGCTCATGCCCCAGTTTGGAAATACCAAAGCAAAACGCTCCATTATCTTTTATTGGTCCCTGTGAATATTCTGGCAGGAGCATATTTTCTCCCCCAGCCTTCGTTAGCCATATTACAAACATCCAGAATTTTCTTTGGGCTTTTCTGGACATAAATTGCCTTCTTAGTGATGTGTATCCTTTTGAGTTCATGCCCCAAGCAAGATTCAGTATTTGCTGTGGCTCATTAATTCCAAGGATGGCCACCTCCTTCCAGTTTCTAGAAACACAGGTTTTCCTGTGTTAGGAGGGTAGAGCTAAGTCTACATTTCCTAGATTGTGGCAGGAATCTCCTGAGCAATGAGGTGGTGAGCAACTTGGCTGCCCTAAGCACTGACCTTTCACTCCTCAGCTTGTGGCCCCAGAGGGGACTATATAGAAGAGACCCAAAGTCTCAGGCCAGCAAGGGGGTGCCTGTTGCAGCTCTCCTACAGCCTTAGGCTAAGCTGGCGGGGATGGGACCTGAAGTGTTGAGTAAGATCTACCTCCACCTTGCCCCCATTTACCAAGCATCAGTGCTTATCTAGTAACTACTATGTGTGTTTGCTGTGTCCCCTCCTACCCTTCCTGTCCCTACCTCTCCCTACTCCCTGGCTGCTCCTCAGACTGTCTCTGGAGGTTATGACCATCCTGTGTCGCTGTGAGAATATTGAGACGTCGGAGGGGGTCCCGCTATTCGTAACAGGGGTTGCACAGGTAATAACCCACCTGTTTCCTCCTCTGTGTCTAACCTTCTCTCTTCCTGCCCTGCGGGGCCTGGCAGGCAGAAGCTGAATGGCCTTTCTACCTCCCTCCCCTCTGTTCCCATCTCTGCTGCTCTAGATGCCAGGGTAGCTGGACCCCAGTAGATCCCCAGGGCCCTAACCCTTGCCCATGGGCTGCAATGGGAAAAGAACAAGGGATACTGGAAGCTAAGTCCAAGTCGGCCAGTGGGTGTCCTTGGATACCAGGCTTCATTACCATGCAGCCATAGCTGGTAAGATCTGCTTTGTCTAGATTGTTAAGCAACTCCCAAGTGCTTCGTAATATGCAGGCTCTCATCTTCATTGAGTTCTTTGCCAGCTCTCTATTGAACATTTGCTTGGTTTTAGGCACTGGGAATATAGCAATGAATACCCCAAAACCCATGCCTCCTCAGAGCCTGTAGCTGTTGGGTCCACAGGCTGGAAAGGAACCTAAACTGTATCTTGCACTTCCCCTTCTTTGGCATCGAGTTGATCTTCAACCTTCTAAGTCAAAATCCAGCACCACTACCCCCTTCCTCACACATCCTGCCAGCTCTAGTTGGGAAGGTCCCCATCCTTATCTCATCAGCCCTTGTAGTATGGTGGGAAGTCAGGTTCAGTGCAGAGGTCTGAGAAGAAACTTAGAACACCTTATATGGCATAGGTAGGGTCCAGGCCTCCCTCAATATCCTTTAGAAGCAGATCTCAGGCTTCTAAGCCCACTACTATCCTTGAGACATTTCCCAAGTCCAGGTCCCTTTTAAGTTAGAGAATGTGGCCCTTAGGGAGTCGGATTACCTGGGCACACAGCTCTTTTTAGGATTAAGTGTACAACTAGCCTACATTCCCCATGTGCCATGCCTGAGTCCAATAGCAGAAGCCAGGCTTCAAGTCATAATCTGTGGCCAGGTAAAGGGATCAGACAGTGAGTGATTGATTACTTGGCAAGGTGCAGGAGCGGATCACTTCCATCTTTGCCCAGCAGTGGGCAGACTGCCAGCATACCCACTTTTGCAGATTCAGCTTTTGAGCAACCCTGTCAGACATTCAGGGGGCTGAGTTAGACCCAAGAAATAACTAACATCCCCCCACCCCCTGTGGCCTCCATAGTACCGCTTGGAGTACCAGTACTGGTTCCACCTGACCCCATCAATCCCACCACAGCAACTTCTTTCCCACTTCCTAGTCCTCACAATTTAAGCAGGTAACCTGAGCAGAGAACATGTATCACACATGTAGCCCACTTATTCTACTTCCCCAGAGCTTCCTGCACCCACTCTTGCCTCTCATCTACCTCACACACTGCCAGCTACACATCCCTGGAGACTCCTTACAGGACCCTGGGCCTGTTCCACCTGGAGCAGTGAGGTACTAGACTCTTCCCATCCCCCAGGCCCTGGGCCCCCAGACCCATGCCCCTGTTTTGCATTTCTTGGCAGGATTTCCTTAGAGATTATGACGTTGCAGCCCCGCTGCGAGGACGTAGAGACGGCCGAGGGGGTAGCTTTAACTGTGACGGGTGTCGCCCAGGTATAGTAACTCAGAAGCCCCACGCATGTCCATTGAGGTGTTTCATCCCTATGCTGGTGTTTGGGGGGAGGAGGAGAGGATAGCAGCCAGGGGCAATCTTTATCTAGGGCCCTTCCATCCCCCCAACAAGAGGGTCATCATCACTGGAACATACCGTTGGTCCCTTTGGCCACTCAAGGACTAACAGCTACTCCTTCTCTCTTCAGCAGCCCTTGCAGGACAGAACCAGTGCTGAGGGCTCCTGTCTCACTAACCCATCCCCATTCTTTGCAGGTACTGGACATGCCAGGCCCCAGAGTTCAGGCCTCCCCTCTTCCCTGGGCAGGGGATGGGATGGATGACCCAAAGGGAAAGGCCCTGTAAGGCAGAGGAGCTCTGAGCTCTGAGAGTCCAGCTCAGAGCCTGGGAAGGGATATTGTGTCCTAATCTACCCTCAACTTCACAGGGCAGTGAGATTCAAACACATTACAGGCCTTTGGTGAGCAAGTAGCTCACCAAGAAGCAGTTGCACCATCATATACACCCTTGGACCTTTCTCCTGCCCTGTCTAGGCTCTTTCCAAATCCATTCGTCTGTCTGTGTCCCTATTGTTCATTCTCCTTTTCATCCTCTCTGCCCCTCCGCCTGAGAGTCTCCCACATGTGGGTAGGCTGAAGAGGAGGATTGGCTAGTAAGGGATCCGGGCTAGAGGGGTGGGAAGACAAATCCCAAATGCATGGAGAGAGACTGGGCTAGGGACTGGGGTCACCAGTGAAGACAGATACTGCAGTATTCCCACTAGGGGCATGAGTCACTCCAGCCCCTTTTATTGCCCCAAGGCCTCCAGGTTTGCCAAAAGAGGGAAGGGCCTTAGCCACCAGCCTCAGCACCTCTGGGTCTGGGGCCTCCATCAGCCTTCTCCAGCCTCACTCAGGCACTTCTGTGATCCTGGCAGGTGAAGATCATGACAGAGAAGGAGCTCTTGGCCGTGGCTTGCGAGCAGTTTTTGGGCAAGAATGTTCAGGATATCAAGAATGTCGTCCTTCAGACACTTGAGGGACATCTGCGCTCCATCCTTGGTGAGACCCTGCCCAGCTTCACATGGTCCCCAGATTGACTGGATGCTCATGCAGGCTGGCTGGACAAAGGGGCTGTCCTACTGAAGTTTGAGATGGACTGAGGACTTGGCACTTAAGAGACTCTAGATTTAATTTCTAGGGGGAAAAGTCTCTAGTGGGGCTGGGAAAGTGGCTCAGTGGTAGAGCGCTTGCCTTGCATGCATGAGGCCCTGGGCTCAATTCCTCAGCACCACATAAGCAGAAAAAACTGCAAATGGTGCTGTGGTTCAAGTGGGTAGAGCACTTGCCTTGAGCTGAAGAGCTGAGGGACAGCACCCAGGCCCAGAGTTCAGGCCCCACCACCGACAAAAAAAAAAGTGTCCAGGTAACTTTAGTACTTCTGTGAAGGAATGGACAGTGTGGAAGAGGGATGCTAATGGAACAGTCTGCTCAGACCCCTCAGCCAGCCTGGACTGCAGAAGGAGAAATCCCAGGAAGACCCAGCTCACCCTGTGTGTACATAGACTTCTATTCAAATACTGCCTCCCTTTCCCAAGTTGATCCATGATTTCTCCACCCCCAGGGACCCTAACTGTGGAACAGATTTATCAGGACCGAGACCAGTTTGCCAAGCTGGTGAGGGAAGTGGCAGCTCCTGATGTTGGCCGCATGGGCATTGAAATCCTCAGTTTCACCATCAAGGTGATGTGTGATAGGAATGTTAGACTCACAGCATGAGGGCAGGTAGGAGGGCACCTTTCTGCCCATGGCTGCCCCTGAGGTGACTTCCTTCTTCCCACCCCAGGATGTGTATGACAAAGTGGATTATCTAAGCTCCCTGGGCAAAACACAGACTGCTGTGGTGCAGAGAGATGCAGACATTGGTGTGGCTGAAGCCGAACGGGATGCAGGCATCCGGGTACATGGAGTTGTCTTTGGGAGCTTGGGAGCCATGGGATCATAGTCCATCAGATGATCCTTAACACCTGTCCCTCCCACCCCCAGGAAGCTGAGTGCAAGAAGGAGATGTTGGATGTGAAGTTCATGGCAGACACCAAGATCGCTGACTCCAAGCGAGCCTTTGAGCTACAAAAATCAGCCTTCAGTGAGGAGGTCAACATCAAGGTGAGAAACCAGGGCACCCCCAGCAGAGAGCTCAGGGCTTAGGACTTGGCCAGCCTCTAACAAACTGACTCTTCTGCCACAGACCGCTGAGGCCCAGTTAGCCTATGAGTTGCAAGGAGCTCGGGAACAGCAGAAGATCCGGCAGGAAGAAATTGAGATTGAAGTTGTGCAGCGCAAGAAGCAGATAGCTGTGGAAGCACAGGAGATCCTGCGCACCGACAAGGAACTCATTGCCACAGTGCACCGCCCTGCCGAGGCTGAAGCTCACCGCATCCAGCAGATCGCTGAGGGTGAAAAGTAAGGCTCTTTGTCAGGCTTAATCAGGGGACTTAGCACCGAACTTTCCTCTCCACAGCTTAGACGCTGCTTTCCCCTGGCTCTGCCCCTTACTGCAAAGCAATATAAGCCCACTTTCCCTACATTGGAATCTTGTCAAGAAGACTAAGTAAAGGAGACTGGAGTTCCTAAGATAGTACTGGCATAGAGGGCTATTTCTGGTTAGTCTCCTCTGCTACTTGGAGTAGTAGAGCTGGTAGTCTCTCCCTGGCCATAGCCAGGCCAGGGCCCCCCATTTAAATGTTTCTCACCCCTGACAGCCACCAGAACAGAGGGCTGAAGAGTTTGTTGGCATCCGGATAAGGCTTGTCCCCTCCAACTGATCTATCTGGCCTGGGCTCCTTCAGGGTGAAGCAAGTCCTCTTGGCACAAGCAGAGGCTGAGAAGATTCGAAAAATCGGGGAGGCAGAAGCAGCAGTCATTGAGGCAATGGGAAAGGCAGAGGCTGAGCGGATGAAGCTCAAGGCTGAGGCCTACCAGAAATATGGGGACGCGGCCAAGATGGCCTTGGTACTAGAGGCCTTACCACAGGTAAGGCCATACTCCAGCCTGATGCCCAAAGTTTAGTTTTTTGGTTTTTGTTTTTCCAGTCCTGGGGCTTGAACTCAGGGCCTGGGCACTGTCCCTGAGCTTCTTTTGCTCAAAGGACAGCACTCTACCACTTGAACCATAGCACCACTTCTGGCTTTTTCTGTGTATGTGGTACTGAGGAATCAAACCCAGGGCTTCATGCATGCTAGGCAAGCACTCCACCACTACATCACATTCCCAGCCCTGGGTCTTCTCTTTTGAGGAGACTGGCAGAGCAAATTCCAGAACTTCTCTGGGCCTACTCAGTAACAGGCAGCTGGAAGGATTACATGAGCAAAGTACTCAGCAATGGGGCAGGGACCCTTCAACAAAATCAACCTTTGGCCCAGAGATTTTTTTTTTTCTACACACTATCCAGGCTGCTTTGGATTTGGGTGACTTGGAGAAGGGAGAGAGAGGCACTGGGCAGAAGGAGTCAAGTCATTAACCACACTCTTCCCTCTCCACCTAGATTGCTGCCAAAGTTGCCGCACCGCTGACCAAAGTTGATGAGATTGTGGTCCTCAGTGGGGACAACAGCAAAGTGACATCAGAAGTGAACCGGCTGCTGGCAGAGCTGCCCGCCTCTGTGCATGCCCTCACTGGTGTAGACCTCTCAAAGGTGTGTACCTACCTGGCTGGGGTGGGGATGCGTGGACAGCCCATTGGACTGACCCAATCAGTGGGGTCCATGGCCCCACAGCCAAGCCCTCATGGCATCTCCCATCCTTACAGATACCCCTGATCAAGAATGCCACCGGTGCACAGGTGTGAGGCTTCTGCACACCCAGGCCCTTCAGCAGCTGCCCACCCTTTTCTCCAGCACCTGTTTTAATACCACAGGGACAACGGCAACGTTACTGACTCTGGTGCCTTATTTTATAGGGACCAGAAGTGCTGCGTGTTCAGGCCATCTCTGTCTGCCTTCCCTTCTCTCCTGTCTGTCTGTCTCCCCTCTTCTCCTCCAGACACTCTCACTGCCACCTTCATCTACTTCATGCCTTCTACTCTCATGTCCCTACGTGTCGCTTCCTCTCAGTGTTTCTCCTTCTCCTTCTCCCCTACACATATTACATAGTTTAAGCTAAAGATAAAACCACTGTCTGTCTGTGGGGAGTGGCTCTACAGCTCCTCAGAATCCTGGTGCCTTGAAGTTTTTCATGTATCCATGTATTTATTCTCCCTACAGCCCTGCCTGGCCAGAGCTCAGCATGGGTGCAGGGGTTCTGGGTAGAAGGCCCTTCTCTTGGCCTGGTCTTCCCAACCCTAACCTCCCTCCTGTCCCTGGAGGCCTGAGTAGCCATGGCCTGCAGGGCCTTGGGCCATTGCCCTTTACTTCATCCCTCCCAAAGCCTAGACTTCTTACCCTGTCCTTCGCTCCCTTACCATTGAGGCACAGAAGCAAGGCTTCCTGTCTATAGCAGCTCCCTCCGTTTACTACTGCCTTAGGAGGCCTTGCCTGTGCTCAGGGAAGTCCCTTCGTTGGCATTGCCCTGCAAGGTGGGTAGGATCTTGCTCCTAAATATCCTAAGCCTTTCTGAGGTCAGGGTCTAGCCCTGTTGGGGACAGGAAAGTGTGTAGACCCTCTTCCTGCTAAGTACTGTGCTATCTTGGGCATGAGACTCTTCCAGTTGGCAGGACTGTGCCAACCCTGTATAGAATCAAGTGCCGTAGAATGGCTAAACCCCATTTTCCTTGTGCCATCTTTCTTCCTGGCCAGAGTTATGGGGTTCGAGCCATGGGAAGCATTTCAAGCTTCTGTCTTCAGTACCAATAGGGGCACCAGAGCCCAGAGCCCAAATATCCTAGCAGGGGTACTATGGACATCCCACAGTCTCAGTTCCCACCCCTGGCCCTGCCCCAGCCTGTGTAGCTGTTCTGCATGTGGATGCTGCATGTTTGGTCTGGGGCTTGGATGTTGCACTGCCCCACTGCCTGTCCCCTCTAGGAAAATAAAGATCTCTTATGCCTAGCCCCTGAGTTGTGTATTCTCTGAGGGGAGAATCTGGGAACCAAGTAGGTTCTCCACCCCATTCACCACTGTCAGCATCAAGGGGCTGCTCTTAGCTGTTCTTCCTTATAATAGCCACTGGGGGGCACCAGCATACTGACCTTGCCCTAGGAACAGCAAGCCTTGACCTTGGCACTGAGGCCAGACTTGAAACCTGGCAGAGGACTACTGGCCTTTTTTTTTTTTTTGATGGGTCATGGGGCTTGCACTCAGCTTGGGCGCTGTCCCTGCACTCTTCAGCTCAAGGTGAGCGCTCTACCTCTTGAGCCACAGAGCCACTTCTGGTTTTCTAGTGACTTATTGGAAATCAGAGTCTCACGAACTTTTCTGCCCATGCTGGCTTTGAACCATGATCCTCAGATCTCAGCCACCTGAGTAGGATTACAGGCGTGAGCCACCGGCACCCGGCATCTGTATGGTATTTTTACAATAAAAAATATTAAAAAATAAAAGAAATAAAAGAAATGGATGGGCTGGGGAGGTGATTCAGTGGTAGAGCACTTACTTGCCTTGCATGCATGAGGCCCTGGGTTCGATTCCTCAGCACCACATAAGCAAAAAAAGAAAAAAAGCCAGGGGCTGGGAAGGTGGCTCAGTGGTAGAATGCTTGCCTTGCATGCATGAGGCCCTGGGTTCGGTTCCTCAGCACCACATAAGCAGAAAAGGTTGGAAGTGGCGCTGTGGCTCAAGTGGTAGAGCTCTAGCCTTGAGCTGAAGAACTTAGGGACAGCGCCCAGACCCAGAGTTCAGGCCCCACGACCAGCAAAAAAAAAGAAAAACAAGAAAAAAGCCAGAAGTGGTGCTGTAGCTCAAGTGGTAGAGCGCTAGCCTTGAGCTGAAGAGCTGAGGGACAGTGCCCATGCCCAGAGTTCAGGCCCCATGACCAGACCCAAAAAAAAAAAAAAGAAAGAAAGAAAGAAATGGAGCCCACCTCTTAGACATAAGAACATGAATTTTGAAGACAAGACACTTGGATTTCATCTCTTAGTTATTGTGTTATCTTGGGTAACTTCCTCTTCCTGAGCCTCAATATTCTTATCCATCTTATGAATGTATATATCTATATAGCTATTTTTGCTGTGCTGGGGATCAAATCCAAGGCCTTGCTATACTAGGCAAGTGCTCTGCCACCAAACTACATCCACAGTCTTTGGTTTTTGTTTTGGGGTGGTATTGGGATTTGAACTCAGTGGCTCACTTTTGGTAGCAAAGCACTCATGCTAAGCCATGCTTCTGCCCCTAGTCCTTTGTTTTCTTTTTTTTTTTTTGGGGGGGGGCGGTCGTGGGGCCTGAACTCTGGGCATGGGCACTGTCCTTCAGCTCAAGGCTAGCACTCTACCACTTGAGCCACAGCGCCACTTCCGGCTTTTTTCTTTTTGCTTATGTGGTGCTGAGGAATCGAACCCAGGACCTCATGCATGCAAGGCAAGCACTCTACCACTGAGCCACTTTCCCAGCCCCTAGTCCTTTGTTTTCTGAGTCAGAGCTTTACAGTCCTATTGGGATCACAGGCATGTACTACCATGCCCAGCTGTGTGTTTGCACACACAGACACATACACAAGTGTGAACAGGCACTTTACCACTGGAGCTACATCTCCACCCCCTATTTTACAAATGCACCAGTTATTTTAGAGGCTAAGAAAACTTAACTAAACAAGTTAGATACTAACTTTTAGAGCTTACATTCAAGTAGAAACAATGCAAAAAAATTCAGTATATCATATGTTAAAAAATTGTAGGTTGTAAGGAAGAAAGTAAAACAAGGAAAGGAAGAGGAATTTGGGGAGGATGCTAGGACTTTTAGGTGTTCCAAAAGAATGTGGCTGAGAAGGTAACAGAGAGGAAAACCAAAGAATGAGCCATGCAAACTCTGGAATAATGAGCTTTCCATCCAACCCATGGCTCAATCAAAGAATAGTAAGGTCAGTCTGGGAATATGGCTTAGTCGTAGAGTGCTTGCCTAGCATATGTGAGGCCCTGGGTTTGATTCCTCAGCACCACATTAGCAGAAAAAACCAGAAGTGGCACTGTGGTTCAAATGGTAGAGAGCTGGCCTTGAGCTGAAGAGCTGAGGGACAGTGCCCAGGCCCATGACTAAAACACACACACACACACCAAGCCACACACACACACACCAAGCCAGGCACCGGTGGCTCAAGCCTGTAATCCTAACTCCTCAGGAGGCTGAGATCTGAGGATCACGGTTCAAAGCCAGCCTGGACAAGAAAGTTTCTGAGACTTTTTTTTTTTTTGTCAGTCATGGGGCTTGAACTCTGGGCCTGGGCACTGTCCCTGCACTCTTCAGCTCAAGGTGAGCGCTCTACCTCTTGAGCCACAGCACCACTTCTGGTTTTCTAGTGGCTTATTGGAGACCAGAGTCTCACGGACTTTGCCCGTGCTGGCTTTGAACCATGATCCTCAGATCTCAGCCTCCAGAGTAGCTAGGATTACAGGCATGAGCCACCAGCATCCGGCTCCTGGTGGCTAATTGGAAATAAGAGTCTTACAGGACTTTCTTGCCTGGGGTTGGCTTTAAACCTTGATCCTCAGATCTCAGCCTCCTGAGTAGCTAGGATTACAGGTGAGACCCACCCGCACCTAGCTCTGTGAGACTCTTATCTCCAATTAACTAGCAAATAGCTAAAAACGGAGGTAGGACTTAAGTGGTAGAGCACCATCCTAAAGTGAAAAAGCTAAGTAAGACCTCAAAGTCCTGAGTTCAAGCCCACTCCCAGCATGCATGCATACACACACACAGGTTATATTGGAGGAAATGAGCAAAGTATACAAAGGATCTCTTCAATCTTGCTATGTAGCCCATGATGACCTAGAATATTCTATACTGTCTCAGTGTTCCTAGTGCTGGGATTATAGACATGAGCAACCACCTCCTGCTTTAGGAGTCTTGCAATTATAATTTGTAAGAATTATATGATACTTATCATTATTACAATAATGATTTATTTATTCTGTAGCATATAAACCTACAATTATTTTAAAATATGGGAATGTCACTTACTGGTAGACTGCTTGCTTAGCATGCTTGAGGCCCTTAGTTTGATCTACAGCACTCTAAAAATAGATAAATAAAAATTAACTAATTAGAAAAAAATTGACCCAAGCCAGGCCCCAATGGCTATTGCCTGTTATCCTATTTAGGAGGCTGAAATCTAAGGATCGCAGTTCATAACCAGCCCTGGTAGGAAAGTCTGTGAGAGTGAGACTCTTAATTCCAATTAACAACCAGAAGTGACTCAAATGGTACAGGGCTAGCCTTGACCACAAAAAAAAAAAAAAAAGCCAGCACCAGTGGCTTATACCTGTAATCCTAGCTACTCAGGAGGCTGAGATCTGAGGATCACAGTTCAATACCAGCCTGGGCAGGAAAGTCCATGAGACTCTTACCTCCAATAAACCACCAGAAAACCAGAAGTGGCTCTGTGGCTTAAATGGTAGAGTGCTCACCTTGAGCTAAAGAGCTGAGGGACAGTACCCAAGTCCAGAGTTCAAGGCACAACCAAAAACAACAACAACAAAAAAATGCTCAGGTACAGTGCCCAGGCCCTGAGTTCAAGCCCCAGGACCAGCAACACACACCCTAAACAAAAAAGTTTGAATGAAGACACACATAGACTCCTTAAGAGGAAGGCAAAGGCATGCTTTAGCATACTGGAAAGAAATACCTGCAATATAGATGTCTGGGGTGAAACTAGCATTGATAATTTATTTTGCCAACAATAAGCTAAAAAAGCAACCCTGGAGAAAAAAATAGATAAATGATAGTTTAGGCATTACACAGAGTGTTCAGTAGATACATAAAAATGTGTGCTGCAGATTGCACTTTCCAAACAGAGTGGCAACAATATCTCCTATCCCATATGTTCCTCTCACAGTATGACTTTGATATCTGTCTAATTAGAGGTAGAACCTACGCCTTCTTCCTTTGAAACTGGGTGGGCATTTGTGACTATTCAGATCAATAATGCATGGCAAAAGTGATACTCTTGGACTTTCAAGGCTGGATCATAAAAGCAGTCTGGGTTTCTGCTTTATTTATTTGTGAGACTCTTATCTCCAATTAACCACCAAAAAGCTGGAAATGGAGTTCAAGAAGTAGAGTGCTAGTCTTGAGCACAAAAACTCAGGGACTGTGCCCAGGCCTTGAGTTCAAGCCCCAGGACTGGCACAAAGAAAAAAGAAAAGAGTGGGGAGGGGAGATGGGAAGGGGAAACAAAGGAGGAGGCAAGAAAAAGGAAAAGAGGGGCTGGGAAGGTGGCTTAGTGGTAGAGTGCTTGCCTCCCATGCATGAGGCCCTGGGTTCAATTCCTCAGCACCACATAAGCAGAAAAAGCCAGAAGTGGCACTGTGGCTCAAGTGGCAGAGTGCTAGCCTTGAGTTGAAGAGCTGAGGAACAGCACCTAGGCCCAGAGATCAGGCCCCACGACCGACAAAAAAAAAAAAAGGAAAGAAAGAAAAGAAAAAGGAAAAGAAAGCAAGGAAGAGAGGGAGGGAAATAGGGAAGGAAGAAAATAAAGGAAGAAAGGAGAATAAAAAATAAAGACAGGGGAAAGGAAGAAGGGAGAGAGGGAAAGAAAAAGACCCCCTAAGCCAGGATTGCCCAGCCAAAGTCCTAAAGTCCACATCTCTGAAACTGTAAGAGAAAAGAACTGTTCATAGTTTAAGGATTGTGATCAAAGCTCAGTGCTTGCCTACCATGTGCAAGGCCTAAGTTCATGCTCAGGGGAGTGGTGCTAGAAAAGTGGCAATATCAAGTATAAGTGAAGGTATGAAGCTACTGGAACATAATATGTTGCTGGTAGAAATGTACCGGGCAGGTGCTGGTTGCTCACACCTATAATCCTAGTTACTCAGGAGGCTGAGATCTTGTTTGAAGCCAAGTAAGAAAGTCCGTTAGGGGCTGGGAAGGTGGCTCAGTGGTAGAGTGCTTGCCTTGCATGC